CTAATCTGGGAGTGATAATGGACCCTTCCCTGAAACTTAACAGTCATGTAAATCATGTTTCTTCCAACTGAGGCGGCTGTCTAAACTGAAGCCCATATTGTCCAAAAATAACCTGGAGGCAGTAATACATGCATTCATTACATCTAGACTTGATTACTGCAATTCACTCCTGTTTGGTATCAGTCAAACCTCCATTGTACGACTACAACTGGTCCAGAATGCAGCAGCCCGATTTTTAACCAGTACAGGCAAAAGAGAGCACATTACACCAGTTTTGGCCTCACTGCACTGGTTATTGGTTCATCTTCGAATCCATTTCAAAATACTCCTGTATGTTTACAAATCCCTGAACAGTTTGGCGCCCCCCCCCCCCCCCATCTCTCTGATCTGCTACAACCATATGTCCCACCATGTTCCCTGAGGTCAGCGGACCAGTTGCTCCTCACAGTTCCAGGAACTCGTCTTAAGCGCAGAGGTGACAGGGCCTTCTTTGTAGCAGGACCAAGACTTTGGAACGAGTTACCTCTGCTTGTCAGACAGGCCCCCTCCATCTCGGTTTTCAAATCCCGTTTAAAAACCCACTACTATTCAGTAGCTTTCAACACCAGAGGATCTGTGTTTTGAACCTGTTTTCTTCACACTGGTTAGTCGTCATATTTATTATCTGCATCGTTGTTATGTCTATATTCTGATTTACTTCATTTTGTATATTGCTTTGTGTGTTGCCTGTTTTTCTGTCTTTACAGCACCTTGGTTGGCCCATCATTTTTCTGAAGCAACAGTGTTTTTATTTTAACATGTTCCCTCTCACGTTTAGGAAGTACCTTGTTGTTGTTCTCTCTGCAGAGACGTCCATGCTGTGTGTTTATGGGACGACAAAGGTCCGGCCAAAATCCACCAGGCCCTCAAAGAAGACATCCTCGACTTCATCAAGCAAGCACAAGCTGTGAGTGACAGCTTTACAAGAAACACGTCACTAACTGTTGAATAGAAGCTGGTCAACCGGGCCTCTCGTGCAGGCCCATAAAGCTGTGAACTCCACACACACCAGATTTTATTTTTCATTGTTAAAGCCTCCCAGATGGGAAGAGAAACATCTTCAGCTTCAGAATAGACATTCAGTGTTTTTTGTTTTTTAACCTTATATTGGAAGCAGCTTTGTTACATATGTTTTTAATTGTTTCACTGATGTTGGCTGTTTATTTATTTATTTATTTATTTATTGGTGGTATTTGTTTATGGTCTAGAGCAGGGGTGTCAAACCCACTTACAAAAGGGGGCCCAAATTAAAACCTGTTTCAAACTAAGGGCCAGTTTCAGAATCTACATTAAGTCAAATTAGATACCCGACATCTTTTCTGGCTTGCAGCTTCTTCAACAAGAGTTTGATTGGTCTCATTTGACCTTTTCTGTTGCACCTTTGACATCATAATCAAAGGTTACTGAAAAAAATTAAAGTGATAAAAGTATTTTACATTTAACATCTTGGAGGCCAGATAAGATGTCAACGAGGGCCACATTTGGCCCCCGGGCCTGGAGTTTGACACATATGTTCTAGAGGGTCTACAGATGAAAATGAGCCCATAGCTAAATCTGGTGCAACTCATCAAACGTTTTTACATTTATGTTAAACTGTCCAGATTAAATAAAGACAACTGGATTGTCTATAGTCGGGTCGTGGAGACAACGGGTCCAGGAGAGAAAAGCTGACCTCCCTCTCCCCAGAGACACTTTCCAGCTCCTCCTGGGGAACCTCGAGGTGTTCTAAGGCCAGAGAGGATCTGTAATTCTAGAATTGCGCCGCTCGGGGTGGCTGCGTGTTGGAGCAGCTCTGTTACATTCATTCAGATTTATTGCTTTGAAAACTTTAATTCCTCTTTTTTTCTGGATGTAAATCACTTTTTTCAGATGAATGTTTCCTCTGGTATCGGATGCTGTGCAGCTGGAAGGAATTTTACCGAAACCTTTTTACTTTTGGACATTTGTTATGTGTAACCATGGCAACAAGGTTTTTTTTTTTATCAACCAGGAGCAGGAAATTAACATCTCAAAGCTCGAATATCTCAACAACTATCTCAACAATTTGGGTCAACAGCCCCAAATCCCAAATGAGTTGAAAAGGAGGTGCCATGGACGAATTCCCGTCAACCTGGCGGTGGTGCTTGAGTACCTGACAGCCGAGATCCTGGAGCTGGTGAGAAACTGCTCGTGACAGCTGAAGGTGCCGGGATCATCCCCCGACACCTTCATCTGTCTGACCGTGGTGATGAGGAGCTCGAGTGACCATCGCTCAGGGAGGAATTCTGCCTGGCATTCAGGCAGTCCTGCTGCCCAGGAGGACCGAGAGGCCCGCCGGATCTGACCGCAAGCTGGATCCGGGTGGACGGATCAGTATCTGTGGCCAGATTCTTCGGATTCGCTGCAGGAGATCCTTCCTGCCCACAGCTATCAGCATCTATAACAACTCTTGAATGAAACCAGGATGATGAGCTACAACAACACTTAATTTCCCTCTGGGATTAATAAAGTATTTTTGAATTTGAATTGAATTAATCCCTCCAGTGAGTTCTGGGTCGGTCCCAGGGGGACGTGTCTGGAAAACCACCAAGGGGAGAGGTCCAGGAGGCTTCCTAAACCCCTCAACTGACTCCTTTTGAACCAGAGGAGCAGCGGCTCTACTCCGAGCTTCCCTCAGGTGATGGGGCTCCCACTTTAAGACTGAGCCCCCCACCCCACAAAGGAAGCCCATTATAGCTGCTTGTATGTGGGATCTGTTTTTTTCAGTTCTGATCCAAACCTCATGACCACATGTGAGAGTTGGAACATAGACAGACCAGTAAATCGTTTGCCTTTCAACTCAACTGTTTCTTCACCATGAGCGACTGAAGCAACGCCCTCGTTACTGAGGACGAGGCCCGATCCGTCGATGCATCTCCTTCTCCGCCCTACCATCATTCAGGAACAAGTCACCCGGTTTTATAGACTTTTTTTTTTCCCTTGTTGGTCATTTGGTGGTAGTAGAGTCGGTTCAGAAACTCCCGCTGATGTTATTCTATTTATTCTAATAAAAGACGAGTAGAGGAGTTTAGTCTTGACTGAATACACATCAACACAATGTAAGCCAGAAGTGAACACAGCCCTGCTCGCAGATCGTCTGGATGATTGTCTCCAGTCTCCTCAGTACACATATAATCTGTCATTCAATTTCTAATCCAGAGATTTTTTTTTAAATATTTTTAAGAAAACGTCTGCTTTTCTGATTAGGTTTGCATCAACTCTAACTTGTTGCATCTGTTGCCATGGCAGCGTGTTCTGAGCCACCAGGACGACACGGCCCTGCTGAAGGCCTACATTGTGGAGTGGAGGAAGTTCTTCACGCAGTGCGACATCCTGCCCAAACCCTTCTGCCAGCTGGAGATCACGCTGATGGGCAAACAAGGCAGCAACAAGAAGACAAACATGGAGGACAGCATCGTACGCAAGGTGGGAGGAGAGCCCCCAGGCGGCGTCAACAGACTTAAAGCGTAACTTTAAACAGCAACAAGTAGGAAGAGACAAAGAACAAATAAAGGATAAACAAATAAAGAAGACTGTAGTTGGACCTGGTAGAAGGCATAGGGACGACTGCTAATTAAACTGGAAATGAATGGATTCAAAAGGTTTTAAAGTTAGGCTCACACAGATAGAAACACATTCCCATAAAATCAGAATATTTAAAAGCATTTTGGGGATATTCACTCTAAACAGGTAACTTTTAATAAGATTAAATCTCTATTAACAAATGAAAGTAATGGTGTTTTTAAGGGAAGCATATCGTCCGTTCATGTGTGTGCCGAATAAAAAAAAAAGACCTCACAGTTCATGAGTGTCTGGGCATTTTGTTATGGATCAGTCTCAGCTACTACCACACCAAGTTTTTGGCCAATATCAGTAAAACTGACTGAGCTATACCTGTTTTTATGGTTTGTACGATTGGTTAGCTGTGGCAGCCATCTTAAATCAGGCCGTCTCCAAACGTTAATCAGCTACAGATGTTCATCCAGTAAAACATTACTGGGAGTTTTGTTAAAGTCCATCCAGTGGTTGATGAGATATTTTGCTAACAGACACTGTTAACTGCTGCGCTGCTCTTGTTGCTCAGCTGATGCTGGACACGTGGAACGAGTCGATATTTTCCAACATTAAGAGTCGCCTGCAGGACAGCGCCATGAAGCTGGTGCACTCCGAGAGGCTCGGCGAGGCCTTCGACTCCCAGCTCGTTATCGGCGTCCGCGAGTCCTACGGTAAGAATAAAATTATTTTATTTACTGATATCAAAGGAAAATTCAACCTTGGCATCAAGCAAGTCTTAAAGTAATCCAAATTTATAAAACCACACAATAAAATGCATCTTAAAACAAAAACACTTGTTCATGTCGATTTTATTCCGATATTGGAGAATAAGCTGCATTTCTCATGAAGTCTGTTTATTAAATTAAAAATGTTGTGACCCATGCAGGCAAAATGATGCAATGAGAAAATTTTCAACAGCGAATTTCATTTTTTTCAAATCCTTCGTCTCAAAAGCTTCAAAATAATCTGTAGTTGGTTTAATTTATCACCGCGGCAACAAGCGAGTTTTGTTTACAGGAGTGCCAGTTTGAAAACTCAGGTTTTATTTATTTGTTTGATCTGGACTGACGTCATTGAGAATTCAGCCCTACATTTAAAAACTGGAATCCCCAAGCTTCACGACGACGCCAAACATTATACGAAGGGATTTCCCAGCTCTGCGGCAGCCAGCAGAAAAGAAAAGTTCAGTTTCAAAGGAGACTAGAGAAACTGCATTTCTTGTCAAAAATTTTTTTGCTGAAAGCTGCCGAAGAAGCTGAAACCATGCTGAAATGTTTACTGGCTTAAGCCACTAAAGCAAGTTGAATTTAAGCTGCTGACATTAGCTGAAAGCAGGAAAATAAAAGCAGAAAGCAGCAGAAAAAATGGCAGATGTGAAGGTAAAAGCTGAAATGAGCAGAGGGAGGCTGAATAGATTATAAGGCTGGAATTAGCTAAAAAGAAAGATGAACAGACCAAAGTTAAAATTAGCAACAAAAAAGTAGCTGAAAAAGATAAAAGCTGAAATTAGCAGAAAGAGGCTGAAACAAAGCAAGACTAAAATTATTTAAAAAAAATCACAAAAGGCAGAAATTGGCAAGAAATAAAAGATGCTACAATTAGCAACAAAAAAAGGTAGCTGAAAAGGCTAAAAAATAAAAGCTGAAATGAGCAGTAAACAGCTCAGTTTGGACATGAAGAGAGATTTGTTCAGCTTAAAGAGAAAAACTTGGCCGACAAAGCTAAACATTTCAAAAAGTACAAATGGCGTAAACGCCAAACGTCTCAGCAGGAATGTCCTGAACGAGCCGAACGTTTTGATTCGTGAATTGTTGAAAAGTTCAAAAACAGCCGAAAACGAGTTACAAGCTGAAAACGGTAGAAAAGCAAACTGGATGGCAGCGATGAAAGTGATTTATAAACACTCGCAGCTTAACGGATTAGATTTAACACTGATGAAAACGCTCATTTAAATATAGATTGGGAAGACTGGATGTTGTTTTAGTTACTGGCATTGATAGATTGTGTCTTTGCAGATTAATTTTGACACAATTCTCAATCAATTTTGGCTCTTCAGCTCATTCTGACTCATTTTGCAGCGCGGGTCACATTTCTTTGTCCAAGATGGGAAACAGCTGAAGGAATAAAGTGTTCCTTAATATCAGACAGACCCTGTCTTACCTGTTTATTAACAGTATTGTGCAAGTCTGCAAGAGAATGGGTGAAATATTTCTGCTGCTTCTTTTCTCCCACCAGTTAACCTTTGTTCTAACCCTGATGATAAGCTGAAGATCTACAGGGAAAACTTTGAGAAAGCCTACCTGGACTCCACAGAGAGGTTCTACAGAACACAGGCGCCGTCCTACCTGCAGCAGAACGGCGTTCAAAACTACATGAAATACGTACGTCACAGTAACTTGATTTAACGGCTGTGCAATGAAGAAGTTTGGAAATTTGGGGAAAAAAAAAAAGGCAACTTCGGCTCATTTGCAGCACCAGGTGGCGCTTCGAGCTCATCATCAGATTTATTCAGTTCGTCTTTAGTCCTGTAACGAGTCGTGAACAAACGATTAACAATGAAAACGGTGAATCCACACAGTACATGGAAACCATCTGTGATTATACAAAGCCTATATAAATGTATATACTTGGAAAAATGTACTTTGATATCCAGAATTTATAAAGACTAAAATTACGTTCTTTAAAAGAATGCACGTCTCCCGCTGACTTTCATGACAGAGTTTTAAACTAGCATCTCTTAGTGCCAACGTTGAGGATGACTATCAGCTACTACCACTCAATCTTTAGCTTTACTTGTAAATTTAACGTAAATATTACCATTTTTGAATTGTTTAAGACTGAGTAGCTGTGGCGGCCATCTTGATTTGAGTTGGCTCAAACAGTCATTGAGTTGTAGACGTGCATCCCGTCATTATTTCCTGAAAGTTTCCATAAAATCCATCCAGTGGTTCTTTAGATATTTTGCTAACAGAGTTGGCTCTACATAATTCATGGCAGTTTTGTCTTGTTTAATGTGTTAGTGCTTTGAAAATTGCTTTAGGGGTCATTCCCAGCTACTACCACAACAAATTTAGCTGAATTTCCCTAGAATTGACGGAGTTAGAGACATTTTAGTGTTGTTGTTTTTTAAGGTCATTTGACTGTGGCGGCCATCTTAAATCAAGTTAAGCCTCAAGTGAGGACTCATAATCTAGTAAAAGAGCTGGTTTTTGTTTTTGCCATCTGATTTTCTGTTGTGGCTCGTCACCTTCGGCTGTTTTGAGTGTTGGAGCGTTTTTTGTTCTTCTAAATTAGGCGGTTGATCAAAGTTAAACTTGATAAAATGTATAAATAATTTTTTTTTTTTACAACAATCTATTGTTTTGGTGCATAGTTTCTGTAACAAATAAGATGAAGTTCAAAATGTTTAAGCTTTTATTGTAGGTAACGGGTTAAAGCCCTGATCGTGTGTGTGTGAGATTGTTTTATTCTGAGGTATCTTGTGTGTTTGTCCAACATGCTTTGTGTTTCCCTTCAGGCTGATGCGAAGCTAAGAGAAGAAGAGAAGCGAGCTCTGAGATATCTAGAAACGTGTCGTGAATGTAACTCTGTACAAGCAGTAAGTGACTCGAAAGTGTTTGTTACAAGTTCATTGTGTCCCGTTTCCTCCATCACCATTTTTTTCTCTGCTCAAATGAACCTGTCTCTCTTCTCAGACCAAAGTCTGAGTAACATCGATAATGTTTCTGCCCACGATTTGTCTATAATTTAGTCAGTTTTACAGATATTGAGCTACAATATGCTAAAAGTAGCCGAAAGCTTTATCAAAACAGCTACCGTTCACAACATTCCATGATTTTAGCCTAAAACTGTAGCCTGAAAGGTGCTTTTCAGCAGTGCTACATCTTTAACTACTGTTGTTGGGTTTTTTGCAGCTTATGGAGTGTTGCGTTAACGCTTTGGTGACGTCGTTCAAGGAGACCATTTTGGCCGAATGTCCAGGAATGATCAAACGCAACGAGACAGAAAGTGAGTCCCTCTGCACTCCGAAGCTTCCTGCTCGACTCAAACTGATATCTGCTTCTGTTCGAGGCTTCGGTCTCATCGCTGCACCAGCTCCACTTTAAAAATAGAAACGACTTCTCTGGGCGTCGGTTTCTTGCTGAGGGGAGCGGGTGTCGAGACAACACACCATCTGAAGTTTTATAAGAAACTGACTTCAGGCCAGTTTTAAGGTTCAGACTCTGCCTCTTTATGAAAAGTTTCTAGACAAAAAGGTTTTTGGAAAAGAGCTGCTTTGGTGAAAGAAACACCGTTTTATACCTTTAATGTTTGCTGTTTTTCTAGATGGCTGCTACTGATAAAGTGCACAAAAATAAAAGTTAAAGTCGTCGACATAAAGAGGAACGAAGCGTCTCCGCCTTCCTTCGTCGTGTATTTAAAATATCCCGAACTCTTAACGGTAAATTAAAAAAGTAACTGATGGCTGTGCTTACTTGTAAACTGAGGCGAGTTGGTTTCATTTGCGGTTTTCTAACAGTTTTTACAGAAAACCCTGACGAGTTTGAGTTACCGTATTTTTCGGGCTATAAGGTGCAATATCAATGAACGGGTCTGTTTTCATACATAAGGCACATCGGATTATAAGACGCATTAAGCGAAACAAAACAGTCAGATAAGGCAAACTTCATTCAACTCATTCACAATAACGCTCAACATTGTTCAGTTGTAACATAAAATACAGAACAATACACATTTTTGAGCGCTGTATACCACATAAAATCAGTTCGAGGTCAGTAAGCACAACCAGAATTAATACATAAGGTGCACCGGATTATAAGGCTCACTGTCGATTTTTGAGAAAATTAAAGGATTTTACGTGCGCCTTATAGTCCGAAAAATACGGTAAATTAACCAGTAATTTTTTTTAAGGATGTAGAAACTGTGTTAAAGGATAAAAATTCAAACAAGACGATGAAAAGTCTCATGTTGGCAGCTTTTCTAGCTTTAAACCTCTGGTGTGAAGCGTAGCAGGCGATATGCAGTCCTTCGAAGACAGCTAGGACTGAAATGGTCAGAACTGGTCTTGGTCCAGTGTTGGACTGGGGGCCTGTCCTGGTTGTACCCCACCTCTTGCCCTTTGACCCCTGGCGACAGGCGCCAGTTCCCCCTGAACAGGATAGAAAATAAACGGTGAATGTGTTTGACTTCATGTCCTGTTTTTGTTTGTCTCTGATCAGAGCTGCACCTGATGTTTTCTCTGATGGACAAAGTTCCCGGCGGGACTGAGCCGATGCTGAAGGATTTAGAAGAGCACATCGTTAACGCTGGACTGGCAGACATGGTGGCTGCTGCCGAGACCATCACTACTGTACGTGCACCAGCACACGTTTAGGGCAGAACCGCTGCACCTTTGTCACGCGTTTCAGATTTAAGTGGAAAACGAACCTGTTTGTGTTCATCCAGGACTCTGAGAAGTACGTGGAGCAGCTGCTAACTTTGTTCAACCGCTTCAGTAAGCTGGTGAAGGAGGCGTTCCAGGACGATCCTCGCTTCCTCACCGCAAGAGATAAGGTCAGTTTTTCTTGGGGGCTACGACACACACAAAAAGGGGACACTGAGCAGTTTTAAATACCGACCGGCGCTGAAAAGCAACGGCAGAGGGCCATGTTTGTACTTGTTCACATGTGCCGGTCTGTTTCCACAACATCCCAAGAATTAACTGAAGCTTCAGAAAGTAATCACTGGATGCTCATCAACAACTGATTAACTTCTGGTTTCAACCCCATTCAAGACGGTCGCCACAATGAATTGATATTAGCCGTCACAAAAATAGCTCGAACTCGGTCAGTGCTGGATATCGAGCTTAAATCTGATGTGGTAGTAGCTGAGACTCGTTCACAAAACATGTTCCGAGCATGAGATCCAGCATAGCATTATTTTCAAGGTTTCACACGGGAAATCCTGGGGGAGTTGTGGAGTCAGGAACCCCCTGAATTTTGGAAAACCAGAGATTGACCCAATAAATCATTTAAGGAAACTACTTTTTAAATAGAAGCAGAAGACATATCCACCATTTTTATAGGCAAAACTATACATTATAAACTATACGTTTATCGCCTTTGACTACGATTGCTCTCATTTCTCAACGATGATGATCTGAGCCTCACTCCTTCATGAAAAGCGGCGGGCGATATGCATTACTTTAAGGAACTTTAAGACTTATCGTTTGTTAAAATGGGAATCATGCCAATAATTTGTCTCCCAGTGAGATTATGAGGCTAATGAAAATACAATGACGAGCACATCAAAGAAAGGGTGACGTACCGTGCTGTTTTTGTTTTCCTCCATCTTCAGGCCTACAAGGCTGTTGTCAATGACGCTACGATCTTCAAACTGGAGCTGCCTTTGAAGCAGAAGGGGTGAGTCGCTCGTCGTCAAATGTACTCACCGTATCGTGGTTTGTCTTAATGTGTTTGTGTCTTTGTCCGATCAGTGTGGGGATAAAGACTCAGCCCGAGTCCAAGTGTCCCGAGCTGCTGGCGAACTACTGCGACATGTTGCTGAGGAAGACCCCCCTCAGCAAGAAACTCACCTCAGAGGAAATTGAGCTCAAACTCAAAGAAGTGGTCCGTTCACGACCGCTTCTGTTCCTTTTTACTTATTTTGTCCCGTTTCTCTCAGATTTCACGTCTTCTTTTATGTCCCCGCAGCTCTTAGTCTTGAAGTACGTCCAGAACAAAGATGTGTTTATGCGGTACCATAAGGCCCACCTAACAAGGCGCCTGATTCTGGACATTTCAGCCGACAGCGAGATCGAAGAGAACATGGTGGAGTGGCTACGGGTGAGTCGGACGTTTCTCAGACTCTCTTCAAAGACTCTAAAGATCTAATGCTTAAATGTTTGTGCGCTTTCATCGTAGGAGGTAGGAATGCCTGCTGATTACGTGAACAAGCTCGCCAGGATGTTTCAGGACATCAAGGTCTCGGAGGACCTCAATCAGGTCTTCAAAGAGATGCACAAACACAACAAGCTGGCTCTACCAGGTACCCGAGTCACAAGTGCCAGAACATGTCAATAAAACAGGAAAATTATGCTTTTGTGAAATATTTGCAACAAATTTAGCTTCTTCAACATATGATGTCTGTCTGTCTGTCTGTCTGTCTGCACAAATATGTTTTTCTGCACTCGCTCTCGCACAAGGCGGACACATTTTCTCTCCCTCCCCTGTTCGCCTCTTCCTCCTGCTGTTTTGCTCTCCGTCTGTGTCTCGGAGCTCCTGTTACACATCTTCCAAACAAAAAATACTATTATGGAGCTGGTGCGCCGGACTTTCAACGCAATCAACAAAATCTTTTCAACAAAGCGACAGGGTCCTGGAGAGCCCTCACGTCCTGCTGAGACTCGCGCTGCAGGATGACGTCATGGATGTGGGAGCTGATGTGTCTTTCTGTTTTGTCTCAGGAGGACGCCGAAGACATATATAATTCGATTTATGATAACAGGTTTCCTGCTTTTTGGAATCGGCTGTTTCCTGGTTTATCAACATACAAAGACGGCTGCAGCTAATTTGGCCCTCGTCAGGCTGCCTACCTTCAAGGTTTGGTTCGTGCTACGAGTACTCAAAATCAGCTGTTTTATGAGCTAAATTGTAAGATGGAAGCGATTTGTGAGAATCGCAGGCCACCTGCACCTTCTAGGACTCACCAACATGACCTTGAAGAAGGCTCAGAGCACGGATCAGTGGAATGCCCACAAATCTGACCATTTTGGATCAGAAGTATCAGCAGGACTCGAGGCTGACGACAAAAAAAACCCAGTCTGCCTGAAGAAATCAACAATTGTGGCTTATCTGAATCTGACTCCCCTGTCTGGCCTCGAAAGCAGGCCGACTATCAAATTTCTCCTGGGACATGGGTAACGAAGGAAAAAGATAGGTCCATCCCCACCACCCCCGAGAACTTCTGTGAAGGCTTATCAGAACTGCCGGCTGACCAACATCTTATCAGGACTATGGCCTATCTGGAAGTGCTTCATGGATGAATCTCACCGTCTTGACGTCGTATGCATAATGTAATGTGTTTAAAATTGTGCTGCTGGTAGAGTTTTTTGATGTTTTAAATTGACGAGATGTGAAGAATTTTTTTTTGTAATACCACTATCCAACCTCGTGGCCTTTTCCTTTTTTCTATCTAAAAAAATATTCTGATAAAGGATAAGAGGCCGTGCTCTTTTAGCAGCAGCAACGTGCACTCCACGAACATAATCTCACTGTATCTCTGTACAATGATAATAAATTTCAGTTATTCTGATTCTGATGTGATTGCCAATATTTTTAGTTATAATTTTGATTAATAATGTTAATGAATACATAAAAAGGCTATTGTTGAAATCTTAAATGGTAAATAGGATAAGTTGATTATATGGTACGACCACTTGCCATACTTGGTGGCAACACAGAGTTGAGCAACCACTAATGCTGAGAAAAATATTTTCTGACGTGTTTGGAGTGAAAACACAAATGTGAATCTCGATTAGAGAAGCTACGTGCATGTGGACTTTACTGGAGCTCTTCCTCGTCTGTCTCCCTGCAGCGGACAGCGTCAACATTAAGATCCTGAATGCCGGCGCTTGGTCCCGAAGCAGTGAGAAGGTTTTCGTCTCGCTTCCCACGGAGCTGGAGGACCTCATCCCTGAAGTGGAGGACTTCTATAAGAGGAACCACAGCGGTCGTAAGCTCCACTGGCATCACCTCATGTCCAACGGCATTGTGAGCAGATCTTTGATTTACTTTTTGACAGCAGAACTTATCGGTTGTAAACTCAGACATCAGTTTGTGCAGAAAGGCGCCGTAGTTTTAGCTCCAGATGGTTTAAAGTAAATAATGCAGCTTGGCTTTTCACACCATCTCTCTCTTGCTCTGGGGTTTCTCCACCGTTCTGCTCAGATCACCTTCAAAAACGAGGTGGGTCAGTACGACCTGGAGGTGACGACGTTCCAGCTCGCCGTGTTGTTCGCCTGGAATCAGAGGCCGAGGGAGAAAATCGGCTTTGAGAACCTCAAACTGGCCACGGAGCTGCCGGATGCGGAGCTGCGGCGAACCCTCTGGGTCAGAGCAAAAACAGAGATTAGCACAGATTAGCACACAACATGGGATTAATTCATTTGTGGACGCACTTTTCTAAGGAAACGCTGCCTGACCGTCTCAGATGGAGCAAAGTTCTTCCATTCATCAAATATTTAAATCTATAAACGTTTGTGTTTTATTTACTGATGTTTGTCATCAGTGGTGGTTTATCGAGCTGCGCCTCAGAGGAAGAGCTAAAGATGAAATGTTCTGCCGTCGTCATCTCTTATTTTCTGGTTGCGACAGTTTAAATCTAGTTTAATTACAGAGATTGGATTTTTTTCTGAAAACAGTTTTTAAATGTCGAGTCGCTGTCCAGAAATCTGTTGAACAGATTAAACTTATTGTTCAAGCTAAAGCAGAAAGGACAGAAGCTAAAATCAGCTGAACAGTAGCTACCGGTAAATCTAACATTTGTAACACGGAAGTAAAAGCTAAAATTGTCTTTAAAACTTTAGCTAAACATTTTCTAATACCTAACTGAAGCAAAACGATGACATAGAGATAAAGTTACGATAGTAGCTATTAGCTCAAATCAACCAAAACTGTAGCTAAAAGCTAAATATAACAAATATTTAGCTGAAATCTAAGAGTAGTAAAACAGTTGCTAAAAGCTAAATGTAGCAAAACCTCAGATAAAAGCAAAAAATAGTAAGAGTGCTAAAACCAAACATTAGTAAAACATCTGCTAAAAACTAACTGTAGCAATATTGCAGCTAAAAGCTAAAATTAGACGAACAGTAGCTAAAAGCCCAAAGTATCAAAACTAAATGTTAAAATTATTAACAACTGTTGCTACAAGCAAAAGTGAGATGCTAAAAGCTAACAGTAGCTAAAAGCTAAAAATAGAAGAAAAGTGGCTAAAAGTTAAATTTAATAAAACTGTAGCCAAAAGTTAAATTTAGCAAATACTGTATGTAGCTGAAGGTTGATTAGCAAAACAGTTTCTAAAAGCTAAATGTAGC